CAGAACCCAAGCTCAGGCTTTCTCCTGCCCTCAGCTGGTTGTGCAGAACACCCAGGATACCCACTGCAGTGAGCTGTTACTACCGTGCTGCAGTCTCACCTACCTGCTCACACAGCCTACTTGTGTTCTCTGGACCTGATGTGGCTCCATCCTGGCTGTACATCTCTACCTTACAATGGAATACAGCAGTGCCCTTCTGACCTTATGACTTGGTTGGTCCAAGAGAACTCTCCTCACAGTGGGTCGTTCTGGATGCATGGGGACTTGATACCCCATATTCAAGTGTTCTGTTATGTGCGCAAAATGACACAACAGTTGTTGTTTCACAATGATTTATAATTCTGTACTGCAGATGGCATGGACTTCCTCTAGAGCCTCAGCAGCCTGCACTGTGATTCCCTGGATGGGACTTGCTAACACTCCACACTGCATGCTTCCTGGCCACTGACGCCATCCACACCAAGAAGTCTGCCAAATCATATGGCCCCAGTGGCAGGACTGCTTGTGCCACAGCCCAAACCTGTGCCAACTTCTTCCTGCTCTAGGACCCCCACAAGCTGGCCCTTCTTCCATGAACACTGGTGGATGAGTTGGATTTCTGTTGTGGAAAACTTGCCTCTTGAAGTCAAAGGAGCCTACCAGACACTGTGCTTCCTTTTATTTATTTATTTAGCAAGAATAATCAAGAAACACACATTAGAATGGCTAGTATTAGAAAGACTGATTACACAAAGTGTTGGTGAGGATCTTGAAAACTCAAATTCTTATACACTACTGGTGGGAAAATAACATTGTATAACCACTTTGGAACACTTTGGCAGTTTCTTTTTTTTTTTCTTTCCCTTTTTCTTCCCAGAGCCCCAGTAGATAGTTGTATGTCACAGTTGCACATCCTTCTAGTTGCTGTATGTGGGATGCCACCTCAACAAGGCCAGACAAGTGGTGCATCGGTGCACGCCCGGGATCTGAACCCGGGCCGCCAGTAGTGGAGCGCATGCACTTAACCGCTAAGCCACGGGGCCAGCCCCTGGCAGTTTCTTAAAGACAAAAATTTTGGGGGCCGCGGCCTGGTGGTGAAGTTCAGCATGCTCTGCTTCAGTGGCCTGGGTTCAGTTCCCGAGTGTGGACCTACACCACTTGTTGGTGCCCACGCTGTGGAGGTGATCCACATACAAAACTGAGGAAGATTGGCAACAGATGTTAGCTCAGGGAGACTCTTCCACAGCAAAGAAAAAAAAAGTTAATTATCATCTGCACTAGCTATTATACTCCTCAATATTAACCACAAAAATAAAACACATTTTCATATGAAGTCTTGATATAAATGTCTGTGGTAGCTTTATCTATAACAACGAAGAGTGGAAACAACATAAATTTAAAAAAACAGATGAATGGATAAAACACTGTGTTCTATCTGTACAATATTCAACAATAAAAATAAACTAGTCATATACACAATGATAAAACTCAAAATAATTATGCAGTAGGAAAAAAGCCACAAAAAAGGAATAAAGATTTGCTTTATTTAAAATTCTAGAAAAGGAAAATTAATCTATACATGAATAAAGTAAACAAATGGTTGTCTAGGGAATGAAGACCATGGAAGGCAGGGAGAGAGAGATTCTCTAGGGGCAGGAAGTAATGTTGAGAGATATATTTATGTTCATTAATTTCTTCATGATGATGGATTCACGTGTGTGTAGGCGTGTGCTTGTGTGCCTCTCTGTGTGGGGAGGGTGGGAAAAGAATGTCCTATACATATGTATATAATTTATTTTACATATATACTTGACATAAATATGTCAAACCTTACCGATTAAATATGTGCCATTTATTACATATAAATTATATATCATTAAGGTGTGGAGAATTGGTTCTACATAAAATTCTGCCTTTCTCACCTGTCTTGAAAACCCAGGAGGGGCCGGCCCCGTGGCATAGTGGTTAAATTTGTGTGCTCTGCTTCGGCAGCCCAGGGTTCATGAGTTTGGATTCTGGGCGCGGACCTACACATCATTCATCAAGTCATGCTGAGGCAGTGTCCCACATAAAACAACTAGAAGGATGTACAACTATGACATATAACTATCCACTGGGGCTTTGGGGAAAAAAAAGGAGAAAAACAGGAAGATTGGCAATAGATGTTAGCTCAGGGCCACTCTTCCTCAAAAAGGAAAAAAAAAAGAAAAAAAAAAGAAAACCCAAATTTGAAATTGCTACATTTTTACCACATCTCTCTTCATATCTTTGGAGGAGTAACTCTGCCTCAATGGCAGAGAGAACTGGTGAGTAATAAAGGCTTTTTTCCCCAGAGCCACCAGCAACCAGAATTTGGTCATATAAGACCTATCTATGACCTACAGGCCCCCTCTTCTCTCAATTCCTGTTTTCTTGACTGTGCAGCAATGCCCTCCAGGAATAGCTATGGGCACCTGCAGAATCTTTAGATTGATTGTATGGCCAGTGACCTGGGTCATGAAAGACACAGCACCAGCCGTACTGAGAATTTCTATACACCCACATGGTGTACCTCCACATTCTTGGGAATATTTGTGGAGGCCACCTCAAAAGGGGCATGTCTTCTCTACTCAGCTGCAGTCTTCCCAACTCCCTATTCACCTCGCCTGATTCTGTGCTAACTATGGTTCCCACGTCATCCCCACAGCCAGTAACAACTGTCCATCAGATTCTGGATTTCAGGGCACATGGATGATGGGCAGGTCCCAGGAACAGGTTTCCTCCGTCAGCGCTGGGGAAAAATGGAACATACGCTGGAAAGAAGTGGCCCAATTCATGCTGCTCCCACCTGCACTGGATGTTATCACAGCAACTGCCCCTCTCCAGTGACCTCAAGGACGTTTTTACTGAGATTGTGTTGTTAGGAAGATACCTGGGGAGCATTCATGGCAAATGTCTTCCCATGGGTGCTGCATGACTCACTCTCTGAGAACAGCCCCTCATCCATGACTCTGCTACCGGGCTGTGGGAACACTTCTCCCAACCAGGCTGGGCTAGACAGCTTCCTTCCTGTGGAATCTGGAATAACAACCTCATATTGAGGCCCACATGTGCTAGGCACTGGGGTGAGGGTTTGTGTCTAGAAAGTTGACGTTGCTACACAAAGATCCCTGGTACAGACACAGGGAGGCTGGAAAAGAGGAGATGGGTCTAGAACATGGTGAGAGCTAGAAGTAGGAGAAAAGATGAGCTCCATTGCTCTTCTCAACCAGCCACAGGCCTGGACGGAGAAGGCAGAATCAAAGAGGCTGCAGATCCCCTGCATGGAGAGGGGAGCCTTTACCCAGTGAGACCAGGAGCCCACAGGCCTCTAGCGTCACCTGAAAATACAAAATGTGTCAGCTCTGGGCTGGGCTCAAAAAGGGAGGAGCACTCAGTCTTTGGACTTGACATAATTATGGCTGAGAGAAAAGCCTCCCATGGGTGAAGGCACTGGAGAGAACACCATCAGTGGCATTCCCTTGAGAACTTGGGGGCAGACCATAAGTGCTCTGGGACATCAAAGGAATAGGGTGAAATGATCACGACAATAATTCCAACAATGAAAACAGCAGCAGCAACAGCTGAGCCTCACTGGTCCTCACTGTGTGTCTTCCCTGGGCTGAGAGCTTCACATGCTGAGGTAAAGGGATTAAATTTCTCAAGCTCTGGAGCTAGACTCAGTGGTATGAATCCAGCCTCTTTAATCTGACACTTGTCCACTGTGTGAACCAGGAGAACTCACTTCATTTCTCTGATCCTGAATTTCCACAGCAATACAGTAATAGTCCCCACTTCCTCATGTTGTGAGAATTAAAAAGAAAACAACTCAAAAAACAAGTAAGAACTCAATGTGGTTTGTTACTTTTATAAATCCTCACAGAAACCAAGGTAAATGCTATCATCACCTGCTGACATCACAGTCAACTGAGCCTTCAGGAGCTCTAGTGACTCAAGACATTCCCTGGTGGGCAACCCATGCTGAGACTTCAGTACCCCACAGCCCCCTCCTGCCTGCAAGGATGGAGGGGTGCCTTGCCTCGGAATCATCATTGCACACAGGTGGAGACAGGTGTAGCCGGTGCAAAGTGAATGGGCACCTTGGCTATTCACCTCTTCTAATGGCCCAGGTGCAAGGTCATCCCTAACCTCCATTTTATACAGGAGTAAACTGAGGCTTAGAAGAGGGTCATTGTCAATAAGCTCCAGTGATGGATAGGGATTCGAGATTCAAACTCTGGTCACATGGGGTGTCTGATCAATGTCCTTGTTCCCTCCCCACAGGCCTTTGAACACCCAATCCATCTTGATGCCATCTGGTCCATCTGCTCCAACCCACCAATGACAGGTCAGGAAAATGAACAAATACTACAAGGCAAGACATTATTTTATTATTGAATGTCTAGACTTAAGAAACAGATAGAGAATATGTTAACAATGCAGATTAATGTAAAAAATATGGTGTATATGTCCATTACATTGTGCATAGCACAAAAAATATTTTTAAAAGTTAGAATATATTTTTCCAGTATTGAAAACTATTCCATTAAAAGAGGAAGTCATGCATGTATTTGAGAATGAGTGAAATTCCAACATACATCTTTGTTGCTTCACTGTCCTATTCATCAAACAAAAGGAAAATAACCAAAGTTCATAAAAGAACAGACAAAAAATATCGGCAGACATTTTACCAAAAACACAGAGAGCCAATAAACATCTGAAAACCTGCTTATCAAAAATCCTTAGGAAAATGCAATAAAAAAAAAAAAACACTGAAATAGCACAACAAAGTTATTAAAAGGGCTAAATTTAAAATGATTTACGACATTTGGTACAGCATAAGGACTTCCTACATTGTGAATTTTCCTGTGTCCGATGAGACTGGAGTTTTTGGAAAACATATTCCACATTCATTGCACACAGTGCACTGTGAACTATTGATTTAGAAGGAACATAATACTTTAGCTAAAGAATTTCCCACATTTGCTTCACTCTTAAGGCCTTTACCCAATGTGGACTCGCTGGTGTTTACTGAATTGGGAACTGTACCTAAATGACTTCCCACATTCAGTGCACTCAAAAGGCCTCTCTGCAGTGTGAACTCTCTGGTGTCGACTGTAATGTGAACTACTCATGAATGATTTCCCACATTCACTGCACTTATAAGGCCTTTCTCCTGTGTGAACTCTCTGGTGTTGATTGTAATGTGAACTACTCATGAAGGATTTCCCACATTCCCTGCACTCATAAGGCCTTTCTCCTGTGTGAATTCTCCGGTGTTGAGTAAGTGTTGAGCTATTGGTATAAGACTTCCCACATTCACTACACTCAAAAGGCCTTTCTCCAGTGTGAATTCTTTGGTGTTTTTTGAGTTGGGAAACATCCCTAAACAATTTTCCACATTCAGTGCACTCATAATCTCTTTCTCCAGTATGAACTCTCTGGTGTTCATTGAAATGTGAACTACGCCTGAAAGATTTCCCACATTCACCGCACTTATAAGGCCTTTCTCCTGTGTGAATTGTCTGGTGTCGAATAAGTGTTGAGCTATTAGCATATGACTTCCCACAGTCGATACACTCATAAGGCCTTGACCCGGTGTGAATACTCTGATGACAACGAAGGCTCGAAGGAGACGAGAAAGATTTCCCACAGTCATTACATCTATAAGGCTTTTCTCCAGTGTGAAATCTCCAATGTTGAATGAGATGAGAATTTACTCTAAAGGATTTCCCACATTCACTGCACTCATAAGGCTTTTCTCCAGTGTGAACTCTCTGATGATCACGAAGGGTGCTCCTAATGCTAAAAGATTTCCCACATTCACTGCACACATATGGCCTCTCTCCTGTGTGAACTCTCTGGTGTACAACAAGATTGAATCTTATGATAAAGGATTTCCCACAATCACTGCACTCATAAGGCCTTTCTCCAGTGTGAACTCTCTGATGATCACGAAGGGTGCTCCTAAGGGTGAAAGATTTCCCACATTCACTGCACACATAAGGCCTCTCTCCTCTGTGAACTCGCTGGTGTATAAGAAGTTTGGATCTTCGGATAAAGGATTTTCCACATTCACTGCACTCATAAGGCCTATCTCCTGTGTGAACGCGCTGATGTCTAACAAGATGGCATCTTTGGATAAAGGATTTCCCACAATCACTGCACTCATAACGTCTTTCACCTGTGTGAACTCTCTGATGATTACTGAGTTTGGAACCAGATGAAAAAGACTTCCCACATTCACTGCACTGATGAGCCCTTTCTCCAGTGTGAAACTTCTGATGATAATGGAGTCGGGAGGTAGAAATAAAACATTCTCCACATTCACTACACTGATAAGGCCTTTCTCCAGTGTGAACTCTCTGATGATAACGGAGGCCAGGACGAGTGATAAAAGATTTCCCACATTGACAACACTCAAAAGACCCTTTTTCACTATGAACTCTCTGGTGTTGAGTTAGGTAAAATGGATGGCTAAAAGATTTCCAACAGTCACTACACTCATAAGGCCTTTTTCCTGTGTGTACTCTACGGTGTAGAATGAGTATTGAGCTACTGTTAAATGATTTCCCACATTTACTGCACTGAAAAGGCCTTTCTCCTGTATGTACTCTCTGGTGGAGAACAAGTACCAAGCTGTTGGTAAAAAATTTCCCACATTTGCTGCATTCATAAGGGCTTTCTCCAGTGTGAACTCGCCAGTGTACAATAAGGTAAAATTTTCTTCTAAATGATTTCCAACACTGAGTACACTCATAACGCCTTTCTCCAGTGTTAACTGTTCGTTGTCGAATAAGGATGGATTTACGGCGAAAAGACCGTGTACATTCACAGCACAAATGACAATTTTCTCCAGTGTGACTTCTCCACGGATAAATGAGGACAGATTTTTGGTTAAAGGATTTCCCACATTTGCTGCACTTGCACTGTCTTGCACCAGAATGAATTCTTCGATGCTGACTGAGGGTTGAGCTCCGCCTAAAAGACTTGCCACATTCTCCACATACATGAAGCTTTCCTCCACCGTGGAGTCTCTGGTGCACAACAAATGAGGATTTGTACCTGAATGCTTTTCCACATTCACAGCACACAAAACACTGTCTTCCAGTGTGGACACCCTGGTCCTGAACAAGTGTGTGTTTCAGGCTGAAGGCTTTGTTGCATTCTTCCCAGGTGAAATAACTTTTTTTCAGACCTGCCTTGGGAGTCCTGGTCTGTGACACACCTACAGAAATGCTGTGTTCAAAGGGAGCCTCTGCATCCTCTGCTCCACTCCAGCAGCCTGAATGCAAAGATACCCTGGTGAAGTACATGTTGACTTAAGACAGAGGAGGAAACCCCATCACAAATGTGCATCTGTAACGTTTAGGAAGTGGTCTTCTCCAGAGAAGGGAGTTGGAATCCGGTCGGGGAAGTGGCTACTGGGCATCACTGGGCCCCTAAGGCAAAAGAATGGCGGATACCTCACCAGTGATGAACGTAAGAATAAATGAACAGAATAAAAGGTGAACATCAGAATAGGAAGAACTTAAGAAGAGAGGCATATTTTAAAATTTTCTCTGCAAAAGGACTCCTGCAGGACCTTTACTGCTGGTGACATGAGGTTATGTAAAAGCACGTGTCCAAACCCAAGAAAAAACAACTGCAATAGAGTGGCTGCTGTTGAAAGCCAATGTAAAATACGTGCACACTTCACAGCACACGTAGACAAATGTTGCAGAGCAGTAGAGGAAGGGGTATGAAAGAAATGGGTGAGATATGAAGTACACAGAGGTCGAGATTCTCCCTGGGTTAAAAACTCAGAGTAGAAAAATGTAGTAAAACTGACTAGAAGACAAAGTACCAACCATGGAGAAGGAAAAGTAGAAATGCGGTGTGGCACTGGCAATGACAAAAAAACACTGATTAAATGAGAAACGTTCCTGGTATGATCTGAACACAGACCTGGAGACATCACACCCTCCCCAGCCTCACAAGGTCCAGGTACCTGTGAGTTCACCTTGCAGCCTTGGCTACTGAGAATCCCTACAATCTTTGTCACCCCAGATCTCAGCTGATGGAGCTGCACAGTGATTATGTGGCTGCTTCCTCCCTAGAGCCAAAAGCATCACAACCCACCAGGCTGGTGACTTTGCAACTAACACAAGGTAAAGGTCTTTCCCCACCAAAACCAGCCACTAAAGGTTGGAAGAGATGACTGATTTACCAAATATAGAGCTATCAACAAAAGGCTATAAAGAACATGAGAAATGAAGAAAATATGACATCCCCAATGGGGCACAATAAGTTTCCAGCAAGGGAAACCAAAGAAACACAGATCCACAAACTGCTGGACAAAGAATTCAAAAAAATTGTTTTAAGGAAGCTCCCCTAGATCCAATAAAACACAGACAAATCAGTGAAATCAGGAAAACATATATGAACAAGTGAAGGAGTTCAGAGAGAGAGAGAAAAAAAAGACAAAAGAAATTCTGCAACTGAAAAATACAATAAATGAAATGAAAAATACAATAAGGAGTATCAACAGCAATCTTGATCAAACAGGTGAAATATGTGTGACCTCAAATCAGGTAATTTCAAATCATCCGATCAGAGAAGAAAAAAGACAAAAGAAAGACTATGTAAATTATGGGATGCCATTAAGGGAAATAACATTTGCATTACGAGAGTGCTGAAAGGACAAATGAGGCAGAAAGGGGCAGAAAGCTTATTTAAAGAAATAACGGCTAGAGCTGGCCTGGCGGCATAGCGGTTAAGTTCGTGCACTCCGCTTTGGCAGCCCAGGGTTCACAGGTTCGTATTCGGGTGTGGACCAACACACCACTTACCAAGCCATGCTGTGGCAGCATCCCATATAAAGTAGAGGAAGATGGGCACGGATGTTACGCCAGGGCCAATCTTGCTCAGCTAAAAAAAAGAGGAGGATTGGCAATAGATGTTAGCTCAGGGCTAATCTTCCTCAAAAAATAAATAAATAAATAAATAATGGCTGAAAACTTCCAAAATCAGAAGGATGTGGAAATCCAGGTACATGATGCTCACAGGTGCCCATACAGATTCAATCCAAAGAGATCTTCACCAAAACACATTATAATAAAACTTCCAAAAATCAAAGACAAAAAGAATTTTGAAAACAGAGAAAAGAAACTCATCGCATACATGGGAACCCCCATAAGGCCGCAAGCAGATACAACACCAGAAACTGGGCTGGCCAAAAGAGAGTGAAATAAATTGAAAATGCCGATGGAAAAAAACTGCCAAACACGAATGCTTTATCCACCAAAGCTGTCCTTCAGAAATGAAGGAGAGATAAAGACATTCCTAGACAAACAAACTGAGGGAGTTCATCACCACTCAACCTGCCTTACCAGAAATGCTAAGTTCTTCAAGCTGAAATGAAAAGACATTAATCAGAAAACATATGAAAATACAAAGCACACTTATAAAAGGAAGTATATAAGATATTTCATCCTTTAAGATAAAATATCCTTTTATCTTAAAGGATAAAAGACGAGAGTATTAAAAACAACCATAGCCACAATAACTTCTTAATGGTTACACAATATAAAAAGATATAAAATGTGACATCAAAAACATAAAATGCAGGCAGTGGCATACTAAAAGGGTACTTTTTATGTGATTGATGTTAAGTTGCTATCAGCTCAAAACAGGCTGTTTTAAGATGCTTTACGAAAACCTTATGGTAACCACAAAGCAAAAACCTACAATAGATAAAAGAAAAAGGAATCAGAGCACACCACTATAGAGAACCATCAAATCACAGTGGAAGAGAGCGAGAGAGGAAAAAGAGACTATAAAAGAGCCAGAAAACAATTAACAAGATGGCCACTGACAAGTCCTTACAAAATTCTCCAAACAAGACACACACCAGATGAGCAGATAAACAAAACAAGACCCCATTACATGGTGCCTATAACAAATACAGTTTAGTTCTAAGGACAAAAATAAGCTGAAAGTGAGGGAATCCAAAAAATTATTCCACGCAAATGGAAAATAAGGGAGAGTAGCTTATAAGACTTTAACTCAAAACCTGTCACAGAAAACAAAGAATGTCACTATATAATGATAAACGAGTCAATCCATCTAGAGAATACAACAATTATAAGTATACATACACCCAACATCAGAGCACCTAAACCTATTAAGTATTAACATATGGAAGGTAGAAAAGACAGCAACAAAATACTAATAGTAGACTCAACATACACCTTTCTAGAATGGCTAGATCATCCAGACAGAAAATCAATAAGAGTGAGAGAGGGGTCAAGATGGCGGTGCAAGCAGACTCTGAACTCACCTCCTCCCGAGGACACAGCCAATTTACAAATACTCGTGGAAAAATTACCCCTGAGAGAGAACTGAAAACTGGATAAGAGGAACTCCTGCAACAAAGGACAATCCTAATTGAGGTGGAAGAAGCAGAAACTCCCTTCTGGAAAGGAAAAACGCCACCTTCACAAGCCGTCAGCTTCACAGCCACCCAGGGGCAGCCCAAAGGTACGCAGCCCTCCCTGGAGGACTGGGGCCCTGAGCCGGGGAGCGCTCCTGCTGTGGGCATTCTGTGGACCCAGCACAATTGAGACAAGTAACATAATATCTGACTCTCCCTGCTATTAAAATATTGGGGAGTACCCCCAGAAAAGGTGGTTCACAAAGAAATTAAAACCGGCTCTTAAAGGGCCCACGTGCAAACTCACTGTTTCAGAAAGCAACCTAGAATGACCAGAAAGAAAGGTGCCCAGTGCTTTGGTGAAGAGACTCACCTGATAGGCTCTGAGTGCATTGCAGTGAGAGGTGAGACCTCTCCAGGGACTGGGACATTGGCAGCGGCCATTGTTGTGGCCTGGTTTGGGCTTGCTGATACAGACGCCATTGGAGTTCTCCCTGAGGCCTGCTAGCCCAGGGTCTGCCCCACCCACTAGAACAGTGATTTAATCCAGCTCAGCCAGGGCAGGCAGCCCGCCCTAGAGACTGGCCACACTCAACAAGCCCTCAGGCAACTTGTGGGCCTGCATAGATTGGTGACTGGATTCTCTGCAGCCTGGCAACTGAGCCCACTTCAGTGGGGCAGGGCGTGCACAATGAGCAGGTGGAGAGTATGGGACGGTGGTGGAGTGTGTGGGGCTCCCGCCGTGGAGAGACTGGGTCCACTTCAGGAGGTCGGGGAGCGCACCTGGGGCAGGACTGTGTTGACTGTGTGTGTGGACCTGTGGGCAGCAGGACTTGTCAGCTGCAGAAGACTTGTGCTTCTCAAAGACCCACATAGGGGGTTTGCCCCACCTTCCGAAGCCTGAAACAATGGGGTGCTCCCGTGCCTGAGGCCAGCCCCACCCAGCTGCAATCCTCAGAGAGCTGACAAGGGACCTAAAGG